ATTCCAGCACCAAGGCTTTAAGATCAAGGTTAGAGCAGCTACTAATTACCTTGACAAGATTTCTATGACGAATGCTGCACATTATTTGACACTCAATATCAAAACTTTGGTTTGTAGCTTCCAAATATAGGTTAAAAACCTTAATAGCAGCAATCATTCCATCTGAAAATATTCCCTTGTATACTGAACCAATACCGCCTCTGCCAATTAGTCTCTCTTCACCAAATTTATTTGTAGCATTTAGCACTTCATAATATGAAATTCTCTTGATAGTGATAGGGAAAGTAGACTGAGCAAGAAGAAGTGTATTTTTACTATAGGTTCTTATTAAATAAACCATAGTAATGGCCATACTCAATATAACAACAATTGATGGTAAAATGTACTTCAAGAATTTGGTATTGCTTGATAATCGAGTTGTATTACCTTTGCATGACTTGACCTTAAATTGAGATGCTCCACACAATTCTCTGTTTCCAATGAAAAAATTTGAGGTAAAGTTCTTAAAAGGCCCCCCATTTGGAATTTCACTAAGTGAGTTCATTGAATGAAACATTGAAATACTCAAGGTACTCAAGTTTCTCCATTGACTTGGGGATTACACCATCGAGTTTGTTCTTTGATAAATCCAATATTTTCAATAAAATCAGATTACCAAATGACTGAGGTATGGTACCATGTAATCGATTGTTTGACAATGTTAGATTTTCCAAATTCTGAAGTTGTCCTATAATGCTTGGAATATCACATGAGAATTGATTTCCAGATAGATATAACCCTCTTATGCTCTTAATGTTGCCAATTTCTGGTGCCAGCGACCCATTCAAGAAATTATGAGCTAAACTCAAAATCTGAATTTCCTTGTTATTCCATAGTGTGGATGGGATAGTGGAAGTTAATGAGTTGTGATCTAAATAAATTTCTCGTAAAAAGGTAAGAATTCCTAAACAAGTTGGTAGCTATTGAGAAAGCTGATTATTCCCCAAATCAAGAAGATACAGATTTACCAAATTGCAAAGGTTGACAGGTACTGACCCCTCTAGTTTATTGACATCAAGTCTCAGCTTTTGCAATTTTCTTAGTTGACCCAATGTGCCAGGAATTGTTCCTGTCAATTCATTACCTTCAATGCGTAACACGATCAAGTTGCTCATATTACCAATTTCATTCGGAATGATTCCTTTAATACCACAATTATCGGCAGATAAAATCTCAACAGATGCTGACAAATTACCTAAGGATTTTGGTAACATTCCGTTAAATGAATTTATTCCCATCATTATACTCTTCAACTTCCGACAATTTTGCAATGAAGTAAGAAAATCCAATTCCAGCATTGAAGGATCATTTGTCAACTGATTATATTCAAAACTTAGCTTCTGTAGGTTCTGTAAATTCCCAAGATTCATGGGTAGTCGTCCACTAAAGGAATTGGCTTCAAGATCCAACTTAGTAAGCTTTGAAAAATTTGAAATAGAAGAAGGAATTTGTCCACTCGATTGCCACCAAGTAAGAGACGTTCAAGGTTAGAGAGGCCGTTGGCAATTGAGGACGGAAGATTGCGGGAGACAATATTTTCACTCAAAGAAAGTGCTTGTAACTTGGAGAGATTGAAGATGGATTCAGGTATTTGACCCTGAATTCTATTGCTATAAATAAACAATTCCTTCAAATTTGATAAACTGCCAATTGAATACGGAATTGTACCTGTATAGTGGTGTTTGTCAACACAAATTAATGAATACCAAAAGTATTAATGAGTACAGGTACCTGTTAAGATTTTATAATCCAATGATAAATATTGAAGTGGTGATGAATTCCCAATTTCATATGGAATGCTTCCCATGGATAGATTTTAGGATATTAATAATTAAAACCCAAAG